TCTATAAATACAGAATTATTCAAGAAATAAACGAGTGGCTGACAAAAAACATTGATGTATCAATACAATATGACTCCGATATTCGTGATCAAGTTATTGACCATTTCGCAGACGATATTATTGATAGACATAAATACTTAGAATTAAATCAAATAAATAATAGTATGGAGGATGAATTACAAGAGCTCAAATATCAAATATTTAAGTGGATCAATAAATTTGTTGGTGAAGATAATACTCAAACTATAGAACATGCCTCTGAACTTATGGAAAAGATTAATAATAAATCCATAACTAAATTACTTACACATTCAGTGCATATGGTACCACATACATCAATATGTTATCAAGTGACGTCACATAGTAAACAAAAGATAGAAAAATCTTTACCATACATTGAAAAACTTATTGAAATAATATCTGATTGGTTTTATAATTTACCTAATGATCTCCATTCATCTGAAGATATGAGTATGAGAAATAGTTTTATTAATGATTTGGCGAAAGCGATTGTTGAAGGACTAAAAGGTAAAAGAATATTCGAGGAAGTAATTGATACTGAAGTCAATTCTTGGATAGGTAAAGCTTTGAGAGGAACACCAACAAATACTATAATAGAAACATTGAAAGATCAAATAAAAATTTTACCTTTTATGGAAGAATTAACTGTTCCAGACCACAAAAAAGATAAACAGTGTATAAGAATATACGAAGATATAATCGATGCATGGATGGATTCTTTGTCTATAGAGCCGCGAAAAGAAACATCATTTATTGAAACAAGAAATGAGTCAGTGCATGACTTAGCTGTTAAACTTTGTAAAAAGAAACAAACGCTTGCGCAATTGCCTGTAAATCTTATAACTAATAAATTAGAAGATATGGTTTCAAGTTGGTTAAAAAAAATACCAATAACTTCACGTTTAAATAGAAAAGTATACAGAGACCAATATGCTGCGAATTTAATTAAGCGTATACAAGATTGTAATTTTGGCGAATCTATACAAATTACAGAAACACGAGATAATACAGTTCTTATGAATGAACAATTAGAAACAGCTGTTATAGACTGGCTAAAATCATTATCACTATATCGTGATAGCGACAGTAATGAAAACAATAAACAAGAAAAGATCATGATAGACTTAGCTAAAGAAATAAATACAGTAGTACAAAGAAACATACCTACAGATATTGATCAAATAATAATGCGTTATACAAATGCTCTTTTGATGAATTATCCTCAGAAAAGTAAAGAATATAGCCAATATTGTGCTAATCAACTTCGATTAAAACTAGATAAACTTAACGTGTTCGGTAATTCATCACAGCGGAATAATTTTAATAACGATCTATTAGAAAATAATATCAGAAATTGGATTAACAATTTACCGATTGACCAGGCCAATAAAGATATTATGGGTAGACAAAGAACGATTATTTTAAATTTAAAAAAACTTCACCAAATGGGTGAAGATGAGAAATTGAAAAATGAAATAACCAAGTTTCTAAGCAACTTCGCAAAAAATATGAATAGTGACAATTTTGTGAGTCAACAAGATATACTTTTGCAAATTCTCAGAACTGTACCGGCAGAGAACGTCCAAAGAAAATCTCCACAAAACGTTAATGTTATTCGTAATGCAATTGAAGACTGGAGTAAAAAGTTACCTTTGCAGGCTGAATATTGTCCCACACAGTTGAAAACATTAATAACTCAAATGGCTATAGAAATTAGTCCATTAATAGTACATTCCAATATTGATATATACAATGAAAAGCAAAACCAAATTAAATGCATAATTACAGAATATTTACAAAAGTTTCCGTTAAAACCTGATGTTAAAAACAAACATTTCTTTAAATTTGTGTCTGATCTATGGGAAATTTTAAAAGATTCGACCCTTTGTACGGGAACAAATGCTGGAAATAGTGGGGAGAGTAGAGCAAAAAGTTTACATGAAACAGAACACGTAGTAAATTTTGATAATGACCCAGTAATATACCCTAATTCTAGTAACATAAATCAACAACCAAAAGATGAAAATAAACCAATTGTAAAATTTAAGGGGGATGACATTCTTGAATTTATGGGTACGTCTAAACCAAATGTCAATCAAAAGCCTATAATTGGTACTCCTGGGTCCGAAGGTAGTATAAGAGAATTACTTAAAAGAAGATTAAGTGGTCCAGCTGTATTGGGCATTCCTGATAGGCCACAAAGTCTACGAAATTTTCGTCCAGATATGGCAGGTATTGAGCATATGCCCAAGCGTATGACTTTAAAAGAGGTATATGAATATTTCGATAATATATTTAATGAAAAATGTCAAGAATTACCTATCAAAGCTACGACATCCGATCAAAAAACGTTAGCCGAACTAGGCAAGAGAGGTATGTATAATGGAATTTGGAAAACATTTTTCAAATTAAAATCTGATTCAGAAATTGAGAATGATTATGAGTATTTCGAATTTTTATTTGAAGAACATATTGACAAGATGTTGGATTGTTTGCCGCAAACGTTGGAAATGCAAAGGATTCGAAAACCTTGGAAAAGCAAAGTTTTACTTGAAATTATTAATATGTTAAAATATATACATAGTATTACAGATAAACCATCCTTTAGAACGCAACTTATTAAACATTTTACTAGACGATTTGTAAGGGAACATTTTTTGAAGGAAAGCGATAGACTACATTATTTTGTTGGAAAAATTGTAGACGATTATATTCTTTATATAAAATATACAGAAGAAAACCCAATCAAATCAAATATATACAAGCAACGATTGATGAATAAATTAGAAGAGTTAGTAAAAGAGATTAAAAGAGAACATAATGAACAATTTAGATTTATTAATCAAGCACAATTATGTCGAATTGCTTTTGATACCTTAAAAAGTGTACCTATACCTGACAATGAAACATTGACTGAAGAAGCGAATGAGATACTGCTAAATGAAGAAATCGAAGAATGGTACAGTGCATTACCAGTCAAGCCGCTAGAAAATGAACCGCAGAGAATATTTAGGCGTAAAATGAAAGAACTATTAAGTAAAAAGTTATATGAATTGGAAAAACAAGTAGATCCAGAGGATTTATCTTACGAAAGAAATATGAAACATGAAATATCATACTTTCTGGAGAAGTATGCAGTATTGGAGAGTAATGAAGACTTAAATATAAATGTAATGGTCGAAGAACTTGCCAATAGGCTAAAAAACAAAAGACAACAAAATCATTTAAGTTATGAATCGTTTGATAAAGATAAGCCGGTGAGCTCTACGTTTATTCAAACCGATACTGTCGAACCTTTGGCTGTACTAGTTGACATTCAGCCTGATAATCACAGCGAAATCATTGAGAACAACAATACGCAAATAAAAAATGAAAGTGCAAGAGCAGATAACATTATTTCAAATACTATACAAGAAATTCCCTCAAAAAATCGTCGGCCAGGAGTTTTAGGGACTAGTCAAATAGCTGGGCCCAGTAGACAAGTTTCATTTTTAAATGAACGAAAAGCAAATCGACAAACTTGGTGGGAGTCAGTAGATACTAGTCAGTACACTGATAATCAACGACCATATTCACAACATATTAACGATATTAATCATATTTCAAAAGGACAAGAAATAAACCAGATACAACCATATTCAAGAAACGTCAATTATGCCACACATGTTTCTGATTTAGGTCAAGAGATCAACGATACACAACAATATTCAGGACCTATAAATGACATATCTAATTTTGGACAAGGAATCAACCAATCACAAACTTGTTCAGGACATGTAAATAATGTTAATCACATTTCTAAATTAGGACAAGGACTCATCCAAACACAACCTTGTTTTAGACCTATAAATGAAGTCAAACACATTTCTAATTTAGGACAAGGTATCAACCGGTCACAAACATATTCAGAACATGTAAATAATGTTAGTCGTACTTCAAATTTGAGACAAAATATCAATCGGTATCATTCGCTGAACACTAATAACTTATCAAACTTAAACCAGGGACTTACAAATGCGGGAGCTGCAATAACACACTCTAACGCTCCAAGACTCGGTTTATATGGTATTCAGGTATCAGACACTTCAGGACAAACTATTAGTCAAGGTACTAGTACAGGATTTGCTGGTTCTCAACCTTCAAGAAATGGTAGGACAGTGTCTACTGTGACAGTTGCTAATCAGGCAACACCAGGGAAAGATTTAAATAACGTAGTGGTTGACCAAGAGCAAGGGTATGATGAAGAGGAATTGAGACTTAGGTGCAGATATATGGAGCGTGTTTGGAGATGTGGCCGAAGAGTACCTTGTAGACCTTACGGGAGAAGACGACCTTGTTATCCTATGCCATTTCCTTATGGCTACTTTTATTAATTATTCCATTTTTGTTTCATGTTCAATGCATTGCATGAAATCCCATGTTGCTTGTTATTTTACGTGGTTTACAAAATATGTATTTATTGTATTTTATATGTTTATTAAAGCTACAATTTATATAATTTTTATTGCCTACTTATTTTTGTTCGCAACTTCACAGTTATGGAATTTGGAAATTCGTGTTTATAAATTAGAATATATATCAGATTTTAAGTTATATCTTAAAAAATACAATTGTTAAAACCGCAACCACATCCAGTAGCAATTTTAATATAATGCCGGAACAAAAAATATTGTTTTGTTTTCCATTGGTCTTGGCCCTTCATATATTCTTAAATACCTTTTGTATGTACAGACATACAAGATAGACATAGCGTATATTTAGTACATTATAACAAGTTTAGTTCTGAAGATTACAACGCCATCTAGTGAATGATACTAATATAAGCAGCATAAACGGTTACATTTTGTTAACTTTTTTTTCACTCGAATACAGATGTTTGTGCGTGTGAATTGAACTCACCAAAACTATCTGTAAGTGCTTTAAAAGTACTTAACTATAATAATGACTGAACACCAATAAAAGATTTATTGTATCGTTAAACATAATCTAATAACAATTCCATTTTATTAACGTACACATGTGAACAACAAACAATATTATTTGAAATAAAATCTACTTGGATTTGGACAGTGAATGCCACGACATTTGGAGCAGCGCCACAAATTTTCATAGGACTGGCAAGGCTCCCGTTTAGATTTTCTACTCACAGGTTTTGTTAAAATACGCTCTTGACAACGACACCTGACCTTTTCCTCTTTTCTTATGGTCTTTCTTATAAAAGGTTCGACTATATCTTCAGAAGGTATTTGATAAATCTTACGTCTAGACGAACTATCCCAGAACTCCACAATGTCAGCAAAACGCATAGAGCAATCGAAGTCTTCATCATCAGGAACATTTTTAGATCTTTTCGCTTTACTAGCTTGACTTCTACATTCTTTTGAATGCTGGGCGTTTTCAAATGAGCCATGATGAGCCATATTTTTTTTCTGAAAAGATCTGCTAGTCCCAACTTCAGGACGTTCGGTTGATGATAAATTACGTGAAGCATCAGTTGATTTTAAATTCGGTTGACGAAAGGGCTCACTTAGATCTTTCCTCATACAAACTCGTTTGGGTGTAGGGTCGATAGACACATCAGTTAGGTGAGGTGGTGTTTCTTGAAATGATAAGGGCACCTGTTGGGACTGGTATGAACAAGTTTGCTGCTGTGTGGACACGCAAGGTGCTTTTGGTGAAGGTTGTTGTGTTATGCAAGATGGCGGTAATAAAATACAAGGTCCTGGGGATAGGGATTGGTTTTGGCCCGCAGACCATGACATTTCATGAGGCCTCTGTGAAGCAGATGTACATGATAAACCACTGTTTTGGGTAAAACTACAAGGCAGTTCTGAAAATGACATTTGCGGAAATTTGTACCCCGATCCTTGTGTTGTCGATGTGGTATCCCAAAAATATTCTTTCACAATTATTTGGGGCGAAATTTCAACTTGACTGCCAACCGATTTCATACTGGGTACTTTAGATGAGGTAGTCATTGTTTGCGGTGAGCCATTAGAGATTTTAGGACTACTGTACTGGATTTTCTTGGAATTGTATAATTCAGTACCATTAGGTCTTAGTTCTGTTTGACTCGCAACATCTACAGACAAAGGACTACCAGCTCTATTTGCATCTCTATTACTATTGTTTGCTGAAGGTCCAAACCTTGAAGGTATATGTCTGCCTGATGAAGGTAGATTTCTTTCTCTTATTATATGCATATGGGCTTTGTCTTCTGTACTTAGAGTGGTAGATGGAAAATCATGAGCATAACGAGACAAGTAACTGCCATTGTTAGTTGTTTCTGGGGATTTATCTGATGTTTTGTCATATGAATCTATTGTAGGCTCTTTAAGGTCGTCATCTATTGACTGCTCGGTTAAAGATACACTAAGTTTTCTCGAATGTTTTGTATTTTTTAATCTTGTCATGAATTTCTTGATCATATCTTCAATTTCGTCTTCTTTATCGGAACTTAAAGGTAATTTAATTAACCATTTTTTTATTTCTTTCTGCATTTTATCATCATAGTCTATATCTGGATGTATCTCTTTCTCTTTTTCGATATCATGTAGACATTTTGTTAAAAAATTAACAATTTTACTTTTAAGTAATAGTTTTGGTCCGGAAACTTCTAATAAAGGTAAGTTTTTAACCCAATTATTAACTTCATCCTTGATTTTAACTTGCTCTACTTCAGATTTCATAATTTCATCTTTAGGGATTGGCACTTTATGCAAGGCTTCAAACAGTTCTTGGTTCAATTTTTTTGAGTCAATCGGAGTTGCCGGGTGTCGTTTCAAGTAATCATCACAAAATCTATGTATCTCATTAGCTATTTTATTTTTAAACAGATTTTTTAGTTTCTCGTTATTTGTAGCATAACGTAAGTTGATGTAAGCATCTGCAAGACTCTCTTTTAATGTTTCGAAAGAGGCCTGCTCCTCCGACGAAAGATTTTCTGTAGATGGTAACGTCCTCAATATAGTATCATGAAGTTGTCGTTTATAAGCTTGTCCTGCTAACTTATCTCGAATTATCTTCTGAATTTCTTTTATTTTTACCAATAAACTTCTTTTAATTTCTGGTTTGTTATTCTCTAACTCGTGACTTGGTGGTAAAGTACAAAGTAGATTATCTATTTCATCCTGAAGCATATCTTCATAAAGCACATCGTCATTAAATATTTCAGGATTTAAATTCAATTCACCTATTTTATTAATTAATTTACTAGCAATATATGGCTTTAATGTTTTAATCCTTTCTATATTTTCCGGTGTATTGCCATTAATTTGTAGCTTTTCACACCAGTTTTCTATACTGTCATATAAATAATCAGCTGATTTTTTATGAGAAACTTTATTACTTGCACTACTATCAACTTTACTTATTGAAGATAATTCAGTACTACTTGATGGTGCGGTTTCCAATTGCTTCAGAAGCTGTCCTCCTTTATCAGATATAAATTTTGGATTTTTTTCTACTGTTGTATCTATTGGAAACTTAGCTACATTCTTTTTAATTTCTTCCTTAATAATGGCATCATTTTTACTATATTGTTGCCATAACGGTTTTAAACGTGTCATTAATTCTTTTTTCCACCTATCAAACTCTGACTTATTTGTGGATGTGTCTAGATTATTCAATGGAAGAGAACCAATCAAGTTTTCGTCACTGCTCAATAATGTATTATCAGGGGATCGTACATCCTTATCTGAAATATTACGAAATAACTTGAGATCTTTCAAATAGCGTAAAAGTTGTTCCGCTGTGTTACGAATATAATTTTTATTTGTTTTATGCTCCGGCTCCATAGGAAATGTCTGTAAATGTTTCATTATTACTTTAGTAAGTACTTCATCTGTATTAATATCTGCTTTTAGTACATAAACACATTCAAGAGCATTTTTTAATTCCTTAGCAAGTGTAGAAGCTAAATTTTCTTGAATGCGTTTTTCTTGCGAGTTCCTATTCTGATACAGTGATTGACCCTTTAACCAGTCGAAGATACCACTGAGTAAATTTTCTTCAACAAATTGGCTACTATCTTGTTTCATTATCCAACTAGATTCATCTGTAAATCCTTTGTTTTTCAATTTATTTTTTAATAATTGCGCAACTTTACTCAAGTTTTCTTTATCGACTCTATTTCGTGTTACTTTGCTTAGCCATTTAGAAATTTCATTATCCATGTAACTTTCATTATATCCTTGGCTAAAAACTTGTTTTAATTTTTCAGCTAATTCTTTTATCAATTCCTGGTGTTGTCTACTATCAGTAAGCGTATATAAATTAGACGACATATCTCCAAACCACAAGGAAATCTCATCTTGAAGAGCATCCAAATAATTTGGCATTAATCCCTGTGTTAATTTTGTTTCTTGCCGTTTTCCGATTGGTTTAGCTAGTTGAGGTACAGGAATATTATTTATAAGGCTCATAAGACTGCCAGTTTTCCTTATAATATCTGATAAGTTATTAACATCTAGTATTTTATTTAACCATCTAAATACTTGATACTTAAGGTGTTCCAGTTCTACATCATCAGAAATTTTTGCTTCTGGATTAAGTTGTAAATATTTTTGTTTATCAATTATATCGCCAGCTAAATCTTTCATCATTGTTTCCCAAAATACCTTGTTATTATTTAAACTGATTGGAAGTTTACGGATCCATTTGTTTATAACATTGACGAGGTCAGACATATACTGCTTTTCCACTTGTGATTTTGTTAGTAAAAACTTATTTTCCTGATCATCGTTGTTAATGGAAGAAAAACTAAGTTTAAAAATGTCTTGTTTTGGATTTAATGATCTTTCTATGCTCATAGATTGCTGCGGTGTAGATGTTTTAATACTCTGTAAGCGATTTGTAAGTTGAGTAACTTGTTCTGCTTGGTGCGCTCTCGATATTTCCGGTACACTTTCTAGACATTCAGACCCATCATTCTTTAATGTATTATCTGTTTTTTCTGGTGTTCTTTCTGGATCGGATATGTCACTGATATTTTTAATAACTGGTTCTGTTGTAGTATTGTTTGTGTTTCTGGCTTGTTGACTATTATTATTGATACCGGCTGTCTCTTCGACAAAATCAAAAATATGTCTCTTAGTATTATTTGGATATATTTCTTTTTGCATACGACTAATTTCTGTTGGCGTCAACGATTCTTGACCAACTCTCGATAAAGGCAGAGTAAAATCATAACTTTTAGAACTTAATGTTAGTTCGTTAGCAAGATTAATCAGTCTGTCAGAAATATTATCAATGTCTTTTCTCGATAAATTATCATCTGGTAATATTTGATATAATTGTTCTCTAATACTATTAACATCTCCTCCTCGCATAATTTGATTTTCTAGAATGTTTGATAGATTTGATTCTAATTCACGCTTACTTAGGATATAATTATTATACTCATCGAGTATGTCATTTATTTCTTCTTTTATTGATTGTTTTAGACCATTTTCTGACGATTTTGTATTCGAGAATATGGGACTTTTTTTAAAATACTCAAAGTGTCTAGGAGATTTATTATTAACTTTTTCTATAAAACTATTAGCTAATTTCTTATGTCTTTTTCTAAAGCACCTATTTCAAATCTAGTTGCTTCACTTTCACTGGATTTCACCGAATTTATATTTTTTGTTATTATGTTAGATATTTCATTTTCCATATTCTTCTTTTTACCATTACTAATTTTTGTATTACGTTCATTAACATCTTCAGAAATGTCATTTAAAATTAATTGCTGAATATTATCATCTTGTGTATTAGAATGTTTATGTTGTTTGGGAATAGCTTTGTTTTTATTTTCTAATGTATTTACATTATTGTTACCAGAGACGTTTTCTAAAAAAAGTTGGATTTCATTTAGAATCTTATCTTCAACATTGTCCCCTTCTGTCTGTAATTTAGAAATATTTATAGCCAGCTTTTCGGCCGCTTTTTTATTTTTATCTGTTTTTTCTATTTCTGGAATATTCTTGAGCCAATTCCAAATATCTTCAGTAATTTTTTTCTTATCATTTGGGTTACTTTCAGGCTGTTTTGCTGATGAAGATACTACTGAGGTAACTGATGTTCCAATAATATTTTCTGATAATGTGTCTATAGAATCTTGTTTTTTATTAATATTTAAATCTAACCAATCTTTAATTTCTTCGTGAAATTTTTGTTGAAATATTTCATTATCGATGCCTTGTGATTGTAATTCATGAAGTTTTTTAACACGTTTTTTTGCCAATTTTTTCTTTCTTCGAGATCTGATAATTCTGGAATATTTTTGAGAAAGTCAAAAACTTTATTTTTAAATTCGTTTTCCAAAGAATCAATGCTTTTTTATCTATCGTTTTCTTAACATCATTAACTAGAATATATTTTAGTTTATTCGTAAGCTTATTGGCTAATTCATCAATATACTTATTTTTATTTCCTTCTATTTCAATGGGCAATTGATTAAGAATATCCACAATTTCGCTTTTTAATACATCATCTGAAGGTTTATCCATAGCTACAAATTGTAATCTTTTTGAAAATATGACCCCTAAATTTCTTTTGTCAATAACTTGTCCTTTACTATTTCTTTTAAATTCAATGTTATCAAGCCACTTGAATATTTCATTGTTAAATTTATAATTTTCTTCATTTGATGTACTTTTTGCTATATTATTAGGTGCAGTTTTTATTCGATTATCAGATCTAGTAAGATGAGGTTTTAGATCTAAACTTTGTAATTTGTTGACAAGATCTCTAGCAAACTTCTCTTTAAATTTATTTCGTTCATTCCTGTCCTCAGGGCACCACATTGGAAGACTATCCATACATTTTCCAATCTTACACTTAGCTATATCTTTAAAATCCTCAGTCGATAATTCATCCTTTACCTGGTTCAACGTGCTTATCAATTTGTTTAATACTTCTTCTCTTTTGGCTTTATCTTCTACACTAATATTGGGATAAATTGGTACAGTTTGTGACCATTGATTGATAATTTGCTGTAATTTTTCAAAATCGTCGTCGTGTGATTTATTTAACGTTCGTGTTTCAGGTTGTATATCGGAATATGTTGTTATTGTCGTTTCGCAAGGGCAAGTTTTTGGTTTTTTGCAGTAACACGTTTTCTGAGACGATGAACATATTGGGAGTGTTGTCTGAAATAAAAGAAACGACATTATAAGAACTATAATATCATATTTATTTATTTTACATTTAATTGCACCAAGTAAAAAATTAACAGTAAACCAGAGGGAGACTTCGTACAAAAGTCGATTGCTTGGGTACCTCTGTACCATTCGTGTTTTTACCGTGAAGCAGTTGTGTTTGCATGGCTGTGTTTCGGTTTAAAGAGTGGAATATGGCGTGAATTTACTGGGTACAGAGGAATAACACCTGGCTCCTCAGGAATGGCAACGCATGGGGGGTATCATGGGCGAAACAGTATACTTTGTTATGTCCATGGTACTGCTCATGTCTATAGGCGACGGTTACCACTTTCCATCAGGTGGGCCGTCAGCTTGTTTGCCATTCTACGTTGTATAAAAAAAAATCCTAATCTTTTGGAGGAAACAATAAAGAGTATCTATCTATCTGTCTATATATTATAAATGATGGAGTTCTGAGATAAAATACAATAATACAACTGTCCTTTTAACGAAGCGGTCAAAAGGAGACGGAGCCGTTTCAAAATAATTAAAGATTGTGTCCCACAAGAAAAAACCGACTTCAAATGTGACAGAACCAGTTATTCAGGTCTAAAAACTAACCCTAAATTGAACCCAATTTGATAAATTTTATACGAGACCAATCTGTAAATATATATTTTTTAAATAAAAAAACAATTTTCCAAATCGATGTAAAACTGACGGAGTTATGAAGGTGACAAACATGAGAGAAAAAATAGAACCGACTTGACAACTTCCTTCTGTTTGAAGTCGATTGAAAAGCAACCAATCAATCAATCATTTATTGGCATACACATAGGTACAGTTATAAATTTGACATTGTATGATGTTGTAGAGCGATGTTTCATCATTATTGAGCACGCAAATACTGTTACTACATAATGCCTCTTAAATTATATTTTTTAATACAGTAAAAGCTTATTCACGCTTCCTATATTCGCGACTTAAAAAATTGCGACCCAATTCCAATTCCTATATTCGCGGCTAAAGATTTCTATATTCGCGGATCTAATCGGTACATACTAATAAAAAGGGTTCGATGTCTATTGTAAACGCGTCGGCAGAAGGAGTAATGAAAAAGAAAAACAGACCTTATTACAACTACGTCTAAAATATGTTGTCAAATGTTATTGCCGCTGTATAAGCGGTTCGGCTTTCTATATTCACGGTTTCTGTATTCGCGACATGTTCTCGGAACGTATATACCGTGAATAAAGAACTTTTACTGTGATAACAAATACAATGAGTGTAAATAATACATTATAAAATGAGCAGTTTGAGATGTTAGTGTGGTTGGTAGTTAAAGAATGTAAACTGTAAGGTTTTTAAACCAAAATTTAACCTCGGCAACTTACAGCGTGTTGCGCCTCGCGTTTATTATGGTGCTCCCTCTGGTGGCGACTGTACCGAGTCTGGATTTGAGGGCACACCTGTAATACGGTTTGAAATTTATACTAAGCTTATCTTCATTATCATCAGCTGGTGTCTGCCCACTGCTGGACAAAGCCCCCCCTCATCCTCCTCCTCCTCCCTATAGACTGTCATAAGGAACAGTCCAGATCTACCTGCAGGTTTTCCCTAAAGATTACAGTTAGGGGTTTTTCAAAAAGGGTATATTAAGTTTTCTTCAGGGTTGGCAACGCGCACGTGACATCCCCAGTGTTGCAGGCGTCCATAGGCTACAGTGACCGTTTACCATCAGACTGGCATGCATACAGCTTGTTTGCCTCCTTGGATTCCATCTGAGGGTTATTTAACTTCTGCAATAGATAGAAAAAAAACGTAGACTTCATGTAAAGTCACCTACTTTTATTATTTATATTATTATTTTTATTTTAAATTTACGATATTTCTGCTTAAAACCGGTTTTACAGGTGTACACGGGCCTAAGCCAAATGCATAACTGTGTGCTATGTTTTTTTTGTATAAATGTAATTTGTCTGGTAATCTGTTTGTAATATTATGTTAACCTGTAGATGTACCAGGAACTTCTAGTCCAATTTGCGGAAACTTCCTGACAATTATTGTTATTACTTTTTTCAACTGATTTCGAAAACAAGAAGATTCTTAATTCAATTGTATTTTTTTTTAAGTTTATGACTTCAAACCTCCGTCAGTTGTAAACAGATTTGGAATTTTTTTTTTCTGAAATAATATACTTACAGATTGGTCGCATAGAAATTTTGTTAAAATCAATTCAACAGTTTAGTTTTTGGATTAAAATAACTGGTTTTATCACAAATGATGTCGATTTGTTTGTGGAGCAAATTCACTAACACTTATAATAAATCTGTAGAGAGGTCAATTCTGTACATGAAATATATTTTTAAAATAACTATCAGGCGGTGATCAGTGATCAATACTGATGCCAAAAATGCAATCAGAAAAGTTTTCGTCTGTCTGTATGTTCGTTATAGAAACAAAAACTACTCGACGGATTTTAACGAAACTTGGTACAATTATTCTTCATACTCCCGGGCAGGTTATAGTGTACTTTTCATCACGCCACGATCAATAGGAGCAGAACAGTGAAGGGAAATGTGTCTGTTGCTTCAAAACCACTGAACAGTGAGGAAGGACATAGGCTATTTATTTTACGAAAAACGACGGAAACGCGGACGAAGTCGCGGGCAACAGCTAGTCATTAATAACAGTCTTAAATTTATCAAAAGATAGACCCAAAATATCTTTCGGTATCTTGTTACCTATAACATTCAATGCCCATTCCCATAAAAAAAAAACTTATTAAAACGCTTACTGATCTATCGTTACAGATTTGGCGTATGGTGTCCTTCAAGCACCTGGTCACCTCGTTGAGGTACCTGACTTCAGCGAACTTCGCGTGACGGCGGGGGGAAGCCAACTTCAAATAGTCGTATTTATTGTTTAGCTGGTTGTCTCTATACCTTGAATGAAAATGAAAAAGATAGATCTTTTATTTATGCAACTTAGAATGGCAAACAATCTAATGGCTCACCTGATGGAAAGTGGTAACCGCCGCCTATAGACATGAGCAGTACCGTTACCAAAACAGAGTATACTGTTTCGCCCATGATACTCCTCGTGCGTTGCCATTCCCGAGGACTCAGGTGTTATTCCTCTGTACCCTGTAAATTCACGCCATATCCCACCCTTCAAACTGAAACACAGCCATGCAAACACAACTGCTTCACGGTAGAAACACGAATCGGACAGACTTTCAGAGATATAACTGTGAAAATCTCGATCAATTTGGTGCAGTATTTTTAGTGTGATACCGAAACAAGCACACAGACAGTCAGTCTTATTAAGTCCTCTCATAATACTCGTTATGTTTCTTAAACGTCTTGCCGTGTGGTCCCGGCGTAGAATAGGCCATACCTTTTTTTCCTTTTGGAAAAATCATTCTGTCATTTAGTTTTTAAATTAAAGTATTTGCCACATTTCAAGTTGGTTTTAATGTGGTACACTTACATCTTAATTATTTTGAAGTCTTTGAAAATCATTGTGTCGGCTGAACTTTGCCCTCCCTAATAAAGGGGGGTTTTGGCAGTAATTGCCACGCTTGGCAGGCGGATTAGCAACTGCAGCTAGTCTTTGATAATGTTTTAAGAGGAACGCTGCTACCCATCCCTCGAGGATTAAGCTCCTTTAATCGCCTGCTGCTGCCCATCCCTCGGCCTCGCTTAGTCTCCTCTTACGACACCCACTAGAAAGGAAGGCGTGGCCTCTTCTATGCCGGGAGCACACTGCGACTACATACTATGAACTAACCTTACGTTTTCTTCGTTCAACGGAGATAATATATTTGTCTTCTTAGTTCTGGTCTTCGGCAGACTACTCCTGTCTTCGTTGGTAACAGCATAAACATTCTCTCTGACCTTTATCCGCGTGTAAGTCTGCATGTTCTTGGAGACTTTATCTTTCACATCTGAATGTTGAGGGTTGATTTTGTCGCGGAGTTTATGCATGCTTCGTGTGCGACGGGAAGCTTTTGTGGCTGTGATGAAGAAAGTAGTTTAAAAATAAAGGTTTTTTTATACCACTGAGGTGGCAAACAAGCATACCACCCACGTGTTGGTAAGCGGTTACCGTAGCCTATGAACGCTTGCAATACCAGGGGTATTACGCGCGCGTTCCCGACTCTGAAGAAACCTCTTTATCCCCCTTTTGAAGAACCCTACGCTGTAGTTTCTTAGGAAAACCGCGGCAGGGAGCTCATTCTGTGTTCGAGGGAGAAAACATCTTCTTTTTGATCAACAAAAAAAAATAGCAACTTCAAAGGTGATGAAATTAGTAGAGACGATAGTAAATCTTGTGATCATCATATTAGACGTTAATTGTCCACTGCTGGACATAGAGAATTTCAAAGGTCTTATATACATCTCTTGTTTCAATCTGGTTTTCGCTCTAAGCTGTATAAAAAAAAACTTGAGTACTCCGGGAGTACCGACAGAAGTAAAAAAATTGAATAATTACGTGTTTTTTTTTAATGATCAGAGGTGTCGGTTACGGAACGGTAACAGTGTCGGGAGTTCAACACTTTTTTCCATGCCAAAAAATGCCTAACGCGCCTAAAGAAGTTTTCTCTTTCAAAAATATTAACCATTCTTAGCTTGTGTGTAGGCTAGTAGCTTGCAAACCAGGTCAGACGAGGTGGCCCGGTCGGGAGACAGGCTCGGGTACTTCCGAAGGGAGTGGATAAACGCGTCTGTGTCACGGGAACAGCTGTGCAGTCCTGGACAATTTGTTTTATACAACTTAGAATGGCAAACAAGCTGACGGCCCACCTGATGGAAAGTGGTAACCGTCGCCTATAGACATGAACAGTACCATGCACATAACAGAGTGCGTCATCCATGATATCCCTCACTGAACATACCTCGTTTAGAGGTGAAACACGTGTGTCAAAACATATGCAAACAAAATGGCAGTCGGAGATTGATAGGTAATATGGAAGGTTGTTGAACTTCTGGTAGTAATAGTGGTGGTCCATCTTCGAGTGTTGCCAGTCACACACATACTATACATACATCTATATATGTTTGTATATGATAATATTTATATAATAGTGCGCCACCTACCCTTTGTCTTTTTCTCAATGTCCTCTACCCAAAGGTTGTCTGGAAGAGATTGTTAAGGCCGCCTTTTGTATCACACACATTAATATTTACTGTATTTGTTATTTCTCTTGTTACTTGGTGCAATAAAGTGTATATAAATAAATAAAAATAAAATACTAATGGTAGTGGAATTAAACAAAATAATTCTAAACAAATAACCAGTGATATGGACTTCCGCAAGATAACGCCTAGTTCAGTAAAGTATTTAATAGGTATATACCATGTGCACCACTTAACACACAAATAACAAAAAAAAAAAAAAGAAAGTAAAAATTTACAAAATAAGAAAAATACATAAAAAAACGTAACATATTTTTCCTTTTCGTGTGTTCTTTTATAAGATGTCCAGCATCATTCCCTAAGCTACATAATGCAACTAAAATATACTCAGCTATTTATACTCATCATGTCATGGTCAGTATAGGTAAAACTATTTCTTTGCAACTGTGTTGTTCCCAGCCTGTAGGAGTACTCTCCAGTGTTTTGCCAGCCGACTTCAAAGTTACCTTTATCTGAAAACATTTGAGCAGATTTGAAAAGAAAATGTAATCCATTCAACTCACCAGAGGGAGACTTTGTACAAAAGTCGATTGCTTGGGTACCTCTGTCTCATTCGTGTTTCTACCATGAAGCAGTTGTGTTTGCATGGCTGTGTTTCGGTTTGAAGGGTGGGACATGGCGTGAATTTACAGGGTACAGAGGAATAACATCTGAGTCCTTAGGAATGGCAACGCATGGGGGTACCATGGGCGAAACAGTATACTCTGTTATGTTCATGGTACTGCTCATGTCTATAGACGACGGTTACCATTTTCCATCAGGTGGATCGTCAGCTTGTTTGCCATTCGAAGTTGCATAAAAAAAAAAACTCATGTTTTTTGGAAGCGCATTAGAAAGTATAAAGAATTATAATTCGCCGTGTAGGTATAGTATAGGCTACATCTTCCTTTTCCGTGGGTGTCGTGAAAGACGACTAAAAGACGGCGAAAGATGGGCAGCAGTGTCTCTCTTAAAACTTCTCCAAAAGCCAAACTGCGATTGCCAACGCGCCTGTCAAGCGTGGCAACTATTGGCAAGACCCCCTCCCCCTTTTGGGGGAGACCTATGTTCAGAAGTGGACAATAAATTGAGAAGAGCTTGTACTTTGGGTGTTAGGTAACTGATACTCAACATCCAGAGTATTGTATTGTGCGGGGATCAAATCTACGATCATGGGCAGGTGAAGCAGTAAGTTGAGCCAAATATACAATAATATATCCAAGAACTATTGCAATTAAAACAGCTTTTTTCCAATTAATCGGGTAATAAGTAGGTAAGTATTAAGCTTGCAGGCGGTATCGAGCCCTTAAGTCTAAGGCGAGACTTTGCCTCCGTTTGTGTGTTCTACCGCTTGCATATAGGATCGTGTTCTGAGGAACTGTTTGCAATGATGCCCACAGCCACTTATTTATCATCGCACCGCTCGCTACCAACAAGGAATTCATCCTCACACGTTTAAAAATGGTCACATGTCATGTGTGGTTTCAAAGTAAATTTCTCCCGGGCTGTGAAGTAAACTTCCTGCCGAGTTTTCCCTAGAGACAGTGTGAGATTCTTCAAAACCTTAATAGTTTAACATCAAACGAGCTGTATGCTTGTCTGTCAACTCCTAGCCATAAAAAATAGACTTATAAATGCATACTGACTTCTGAAAGGTGTAGTTTTCTGGAGAGGAAACTCTGGAAGGTGAACGGACGGAGAGGTTGGCTTCAAGCTGCAGTGTGCTAGCTGAAAACAAATGATGTATGATGGTATTTATTGTTGAGTGGCTTTTGTCACAGAGGCCTTAAGTGCCTTTTTGCCGCAGTTCATTTTCAAGACCACAATTGATTTCAGGATTTTGCGGTACTTGACACAATATTCGGTAACATTTTAATCGTCATCATCGTTAACAGTCCACTGCTGAACATAATGTCTATGGGACATCTATGGAACTGATAAGTATATCCTACATATCAGATACAGAAAGAATTTGCCAAATCGGTCTATAAACGATGATGAAGGTAGGAAACATAAAAAAATACAATCTAATTCAGAAGCTCCTACATTTTTGAAGTTGGTTGAAAATGCTGAGTATTAATGGACCATACAGATCCCGACATAGACTAGGTCACCCTTTCCTATACCGTCAGTGTCGTAAGGGGCGAATAAGCGAGCTTATGGTAGAGGGAATGACAGCAGCATTTCTTTTAAAACAACACCAAAAGCCAAACTGCGGTCGCCAATCGTAGCAATTACTATCAAAATTTATGGGTATGTTCAGCAGTGGACAGTTAGCGGCTGAGACAACATACCTGATAACGGGGGGAAAGGGATTGTTAGTAATGGAGACTGAGAATCCTATTGCTAGCAATATACCCAACTAGGTCCACCTAATGGCAGTTCTCCCTGAAAACCATCATGGTTAATCCCTGATGAATTCATCACGATGGGCTAACTGGCCTCTTTTCATTCTCATCTATCACCCTTCACTGGTGCTCCGCCAGCGTCTTCCGTTAGCGCAAGCTGGGATACCATTCCATTTTCACCCATCAAAAAAAAAACATACCTGATAACTGCTAGCATACCGGCCATCGCAGATCTGAGTGCCGGCATGACTCTTGACAGCATCAGTGTTGGTTTCCACTGAAGATCTCGCTTGCGGTAGCCAACAACCTTTGTAAATTATATAGAAAGTTATTTAATTAAACAATTAAAACCAGCTGCTTCAGCAGTTAAATTAGGTCAATATGTTTAAGGATAAGCAAGCTCAAGTGGCAATGGGCTGGTCACATAGCTCGAAGAACCGACAACCGAAGGGGAAGAAACGTTCTTGAGTGGATGGAGTGACGACCTTAAATGCATTGCAGGGAGTCAGTGGATGCAGGTGGCTCAGGACCGTTCCTTATGGCAGTCTATGGGGAGGCTTATGTCCAGCAGTGGACGGATAATGGCTGAAATGATGATGATGATGATGATGAATATGCTTAGCTTTAATTTAATTCTATGTTCGCAACCGCCGGAATGGTTTTTTATTTAATTCATAATCACAACACTAAAGGCATTGCAGGTGTGCTGCCGGCCTTTTAAAAAGGAATATGCTCTTTTCTTGAAGGTTATGTTGTCGTATCGGTTCGAAAATACTGCTGCTGCTAAAAACGCACGGTAGATGGTTGCTAAAGAAAATCAGCAGTTTGCTAAATAGTTTGCTAAAGATGAATAATAGTAACTAAGGAGGAAGGAATTGTTAGTAATATACCCTAACAGGTTGATCTGCATGCCGTTCCTCCTGGAAACCATACTGATTAATTCTTGTTGAATTCTCATAACCGGCCAATGGAAGTGCTTTTATCCTCACCTAGATTTTCTGACTGGTGCTCTGCCAGCGTAAGCCGATAGCGCAGACGCAGGATTACCATTTCATTTTCACCCATCAAAAAACTGGGGGAGGGAAAGGAATTGTTGGTAATAGGATTTAACAGTCCTACTGCTAGCAATATACGGCCCAACAGGCCGATCTTCACGTAGGAACCATGAAATGTGCATATGAAAATCATCGTAGTCAATTCCTGGCAAATTCATCTCCATTGGTGAATTGGCATGACTTCATGACTGGCGGGGCTCCAGTGAGGGATGATAAATGAGGTATCATCCCTCACTGGTGCTTCGCCAGTGTGTACCAATAGTGCAGGCGGGGTTACCAATACATTATCATCTCTTAAAAAGCCCTGATCTTCTTGCCGTATTCTTACTTCATTAGTTAAAAATTGAATAAACAATGTTACGTCTAGCAGTCGCGCGTCTATCAGGTTCGTCGTATCGGCTGTCTACAAGCGTCACAGCCAGGCCAGCATCCTTGAAGCTTGAGACTATGGCCACCATGCCCTCACCACCGCCCTCCATGTTGTCTTAGTTGCGTGGGAGAGGTATATGCTACGGAAGAGATATAGAAAACTAAAAGAAAATTTAAGTTGTATAAAAAAAGTGTTTCAACCGTAAAGTAGTTGTGTTTCCATGGCTGTGTTTCGGTTTGAAGCGTGGGATATGACGTGAATTTACAGGGTACAGAGCAATAACACCTGAGTCCTCAGGAATGGCAACGCATGGGGGGGTATCATGGGCGAAACAATATACTCTGTTATGTCCATGTCCATTGCTCATGTCTATAGGCGAACGAAGAACGCTGGTCCTCATCCTTCGATTATTAAGTTGCCTTAGTCGCCCTCTTACGACAGCCACGGGAAAGAAAGCGGTGGTCCATTCTATGCGGGGACCACGCAGCATTGTTTTAGCCATACTAACGCTCATTTTCAGTAGTCGTAGCACGCAATAACAGATGTCAGGTCGGTAGCAGCCCTGCCAGTCCTCGTGAGGTATGGGCCTAAAACAACGGAGACATAACCACAGTATGAGTGTAGTATGCACTGCTATAAGAATAGGGCATTTTTATGGTGATTCTCTATACACTGTAATCTATAACACTCTTTCATGGTAGTATGGTATTGCGGGTTGGATTATTTTTAATGGGTGATAATGGAATGGTAACCCCACCCGCGCTATCGGTATACACCGGCGGGGCACCAGTGAAGGATGATAGGTGAGAATGAAGTAGATCAGTTAGCCCATCGTGACGAATTCAACAAGAATTGTTCACGATGGTTTCCAGGGTGAACCATGTGGAGTTTGACCTAATAGGGCATTTGCTAGCAATGGGGCTGTCAAACTCCATTGCCAACAATTTCTTTACCCCCTGCGGGTTGGATTGAGACGTCTAACTTTAGGCTGCAGCTGAAAATCAGTGCTTTGCTTTTGAGCAAAACTATCACTGAGCTGTAGCCTATTTGGGGTCACTGCGACACACATGGCGGAAACATATTTTCGTATTTTATCTTTTGTTTTATATTTAAAAAAGTGTAATTAATTTGATTCTATGAACTCATTTGTTAATTTACATGCATCATAAATGGATCAAATAAAGTGTTTAGCTATCTATCTATCTAATTCTCAACTGAGTAATGACTGACAAAATTTAAAAATATAAAAATGATCTTTTATACTACAAAATAAATACAAATACAGGGGGGGGGGGAAGGGATTGTTAGTAATGGGGACTGAGAATCCCATTGGTAGCAATACACCCAACCAGGTCGACCACCTCTCGGTTCCACCTGGAAACTATCATGGTTAATTCCTGATGAATTCATCATGATGGGCTAACTGGCCTGTTTTCATTCTCATCGAACACCTTTCACTGCACTAGCCAGCGTATTCCGTTAGCGCAGGCGGGGCTACCATACCATTTTCATCTAATAAAAAAAAAAAAATACAAATACAGGAAATTAAGACAAAAATGGCGACGCGACACATTAACCTGGTACGTGCAGTGAGTGCTGAATTAACAATTATTAAACATCTTAGTAAACAAACATTTTCCTTACTTAACTGCACGTGTTAGATATTTATTATAATTATATTAATTTTCTTAAACATCTTGTGTCAAAATGTGTACCTACATCTATTAATAAAAATCAGACTAACTACTTTAAATATAATAAAATATTAAAATTGTTATTATACCAAATTTTGTAATGAATTATTCTTGTATTGTATATAAAACACTAATTTATATTTTAATTGATTTTATAATTATTTATTATCATGATACTTAAATAAAAAGTAATGAAATTGTAAGAACACGTGGTCTCACTGGCTCGTTCACTCGAATTCCGCCCTGTAGATATAAAAGATTGTTATTTGGGTGGGGAGACATTTCTTGTCCAACCGTTGAACAGAAGCAGCTGTGTTTGCATGGCTGTGTTTCGGTTTGAAGGGTGGGATATGGCGTTAATTTACTGGGTACAGAGGAATAACACCTGAGTCCTCAGGAACTATGTATTCTGTTATGTCCATGGTACTGCTCATGTCTATAGGCGACGGTTACCACTTTCCATTAGGTGGGCAGCCAGCTTGTTTGCCATTCTAAGTAGTATAAAAAATATATAAAGTTAATATTACGTAGTACCCCACATATCATATTATATATATATATATATATATATATATATATATATATATATATATATATATATATATATATATGATATGTGGGGTACTAAAGATTACTTGAATGACAAGCGTGTTCGACCTTAGTCGATCACGGACGGACTTCATAATGATCGTGTAATTTTAGACATAGTACATTCAAATGTGTGTTTCAACCGTGAAGCAGTTGTTTGCATGGCTGTGTTTCGAAGGGTGAGATATGGCAGGGTACAGAGGAATACTCTTCAGTGGCAACGCATATCATGTCCATGGTACTGCTCATGTCTATAGGCGACGCTTACCACTTTCCATCAGGTGGGCCGTCAGCTTGTTTGCCATTTTAAGTTGTATAAAAAAAAATTAAAATAAATACACATAATGTTAACAGAGATTTAAAAGAGTAACTGTTATTCAACTGTCCGCAAGATGTCTTGTTAAAATGTCTTGCGGATAGTTGTTTGATTAGATCATTATCATCATACCAGCCTTTAACTGTCTACTGCTGATCATAAGCCTCCTTCTTGGAAGGATTTGTCAGTAGTTGCCACGCTTGGCAGGCGAATTGGCAACCGCAGTTAGGCTTTGGAGATGTTTTAAGAGGGACGCTGCTGCCCATCCCTCGCACTCCCTTAGTCGCCTCTTTTGACATGCACGGGAAAGGAAGGGGTGGCCTATTGTATGCCGGGAGCTACACGGCGAGAGGCGTGATGTATGGCAATGAAATTACAGGATACAGGCATAACACCTTAGTCGGAAATGGCAACGCATGAAGGGTATCGTGGGCGACACAATGTGCCCTGTTATGTCCATGGTGCTGCTCATGTTTATAGGCGACGGTTACCATTTTCCATCAGGTGAACTGTCTATTTGTTTGACATTTTAAGTTGCATAAAAAAAATAAAGAAATGTACTAAATAATTTGAAAAGAGTAACTATTGAGTTTCTTGCGGATCCTTCTAAACAAATAACAATATTTCGTAACCAGCAGTAGAATTATAAATAATTTATGATTTAAAAATGCTTGTAAACAAGTCTATTTAATTTAAGCGATTTAATAGCGATTAGTTTAACAACTTGTCAGCAAGGGAGGGCTTTTCTCTGAAAGAGATCTCTTCCAGCCAACCGAGTGCAGTTAGAGAGAAAATAATTTATTTATTTAACTCTTTATTGCACCATAAATAAAAGTATACAGTGACAAGTGAATAATTCAAGTGAAATACAGTAACATAAATACAGATTGAAATATACACATAAAGGTACAAAAGGCAGTCTTATCGCTAGGGCAATCTCTTACAGACAACGTTTGGTTAATGGAGAACATATAGAAGTGGGCAGGTGGCGCAAGAGTGAATTAATAATTTATTTATTTATATACTTTTGTACATTCACTTTTAATATAGATATCAGGTTATGACAAAAATGTAACGAACGCGAATTTATCCCTTAAAAGGATTTCCTCCAATCAACCTTAAGGAACGCGAAAGGACATAGTATCTATAGGATACTAGATCTAGCAGCAGTATTTCCGAGCCGATACGACAACATAACCTCCAAGAAAAGAGCATATTCCTTTATAAAAGGCCGGCAGCACTGCGATGCTGTTGGTGTTGTGGATGATCATGGGCGGCGGTAGTCACTTACTATATTATATATATATATATATATATATATATATAAAAGAAATAATGAAACATATATAACTGTACTTACATTATATACAAATAATTAATACGTAACGAAATTATAAATTAAAAGTAAATAAAAAAAAATTTGCTAATTTTGAATTTTGACATCACCATAATATTTGATGACAACGATGTCAGCGTTATACTTTTTAATTTTTCTAATCTGCTATCAGAGAATAAATTAAAATAGTTTGTTTCAGGCAGTGTCGTCGTGTTGTTTAATTCGCTTCTCGCCCGTAATGCATTTATGGTTTATAAAAGACGGCAATTAATGCAAGCATTACTATTTATACTGCATGGTAATGGAATGGTAACCCCGCCTGCGCTATCGGTATACGCCGGTGAAGCACCAGTGAAGGATGATAGGTGAGGATAAAAAGGCAAGTCAGCTAGCCCACGTGTGATGAATACACCAGGAATTTAGCACGATGGTTTCCAGGGGGGAACACGGGGAAGTCAATCTGATAGGGTATATTGCTAGCAATAGGCCTGGTAGTCCGCATTAGTAACAATCCCTTCCCCCCCTCCTTCTACTTGTAATTAGGAATTTATAATTATTTTTCTTAATGTTTTACTTTCTTAATTATGCAAGATTTGTAATTTCCGCCATCAACTCAAGTGGCTTTAAATTCGCCTTCGCTGGAACTGTCTTATCCTATCTCTTCTTTACACTATTCCTTTCCATCTTTCAACTCCCGAGTACTTCAAAATGTGCTTTGAGTTTCATGTCGATTCTCAGGGTCGTACATTGCGCAGCGCGAGATCCCCTCTTTTAGTAACGCCTATTCATTCTTTTTAACTCTATTCCAATTTTTTCTCAATCCAAGCTATCCGTCTCTGGAACTCCTTACCTCTTTCCATTAGATCAGCTTCTTCTTCTCTTGTCTCGTTCAAGAGGCAGGTAAAATCTCATTACCTATCTCTCTAATTTGCTTTGACGTTCACCACGTGTGATTTACCTTGATCTATTTAATTTATTTATATATTTATGTTTATGTACTATTATTTATATTATATATGTATTTATGTAATTTTGTCTTATTTTTATATAAATGATATTTAGAATAACATGCATTTTATTTGGTTACTTTTTTTGTATTTACCGTGTCTGACTAACGCCATCTACCTTTCTCTCTATACTTATCGACTATTTACGTCAGGTTGTCTATAATTGCTTCTAGCGATAAGGTCGCCTTTTGTATATGAACATTCTGTATAAATACTTATCGTATACATCTCTTTTGTGCATAATTATTATTGTAAAAAAAAAAAAAACTATTAAAATATTACAAATAAAAAAGTAAAAAAAAGATGGCTCCGTAAGGAAGAACCAAGATTAATACGTAGTTTCATTTTATAAAGTTTCCCGGAATAATATTATCCACCTGCGGAGACAAATTAACTTTCTTCTCGGATTATCCAGAAGATTTTGGTCCTCCGAGCCGGATATGTACAAGTAATTAAAAGATGGCTCCGCTCTTCATTCGAAACAAATAAAAAAGTGTTTATTGTTGTTATTTATTAATATTACTATTCCTACTTGTACAACAATTAGTTCATTACCCTAAGGTTGCCTTGAAAAGATTGCTCTCAGCAATAAGACCGCCTCACTGTACTTATACAATTGTATCGTTGTGTTTGTAAATTGTCTTGCTTATTTCCTATATTGTATAATGCAAATAAAGTATACACATTCGTTCGTTCATTCATAAAACATGCAACGCGAAAGTGAATACTGCAATGTTGGTACTTTTTAACCGAGTGTTTTTATTTGCACGGAAGTGTAAGAAATGTTATAGATGCGCTAATTTAGCTTCAAGTCCGGATTTTATCTTACATGTTAAATAAAACTAGAGAGAGTCGTTTGCTTTGGTACCTCTGTCCCATTCGTGTTTTAGCCGTGTAGCAGTGAGGTAAATACAATTGTTGAAAATTTTTAACAAAGTATACATAACTCTGTAATAATTTAATACATAACAAAATACAATAAATGTAATCCTGTTTTTTTCTTTTTATTTATCAATTATTATGGAGACCAGAGGGAGACTTTGTACAAAAGTCGTTTGCTTGGCCACCTCTCAACATTTTGTGTTTCTACCGTGAAGCAGTTGTGTTTGTATGGCTGTGTTTCGGTTTGAAGGGTGGCATTGGCATTGGCATATGGCAGTGAAATTACAGGGTATAAAGGAATAATATCTAAGTCCTCAGGAATGGCTATGCATAAATGGTATCATGGGTGAAACAGTATACTCTTATGTCCACGGTGCTGTTCATGTCTATAAGCGACGGTTATCACTTTTCATAAGGTTGGCCGTCGGCTTGTTTACCATTCTAAGTGGTATGAAAAAAGCATGTAAGAAGGTTCATATGCTTGTAACGTTTTTGTTTAACTTTCTTTAGAAAGTCTGTCCGTTCAAAATTTGCAACTTTATTTTCACTTAGACTTAAAAAAGCAGGAGCTTTTCAATTCGGTTGTATTTAAAAAAAAAAAAAAACATATTGTTACCTTATAACACCATCATTTATAAACCAATTTGGAAATTTTTTTTTTATCTAAAATTATATACGTTCAGATTGGTCTTATAGGAACTGTCAAAATCAGTTTAGTGGTATAGTTTTTAAATCGAAATTACTGGTTTGATCACAAATGTAGTTTATTTTTTAATTTGTGGCACAAAATCTTAAAGTATTAACCACTTGTTTATTAAGCATTCACTTCTACATAACTTGATAATATAATTACTTCGCTCGATTACGCGTGACAAATGTGTTGCGTCGCATTTCAAAATGGCCGGCGATGTGACGGCGCGAGATGGCGCGAAATAAAATCGTGACGTTCTTGACAGGTGACGGTCAATCTTACTTGTTTTACTAATTAATCTATGGTCATCAACATTATCGTAAATTTTGACAGGATATAATTATAAGTTGAGTGTTTAGTGTGAGTTATATTTTTTTTTTATTTTACAGCACAGGGGGCAAACGAGCATGCGGTTCACCTGATGGTAAGTGACTACCGCCGCCCATGATCACCCACAACACTAATGGCATTGCAGGTGTGCTGCCGGCCTTTTAAAAAGGAATATGCTCTTTTCTTGAAGGTTATGTTGTCGTATCGGTTCGGAAATACTGCTGCTGGAAGTTGATTCCAAAGAGTGGTTATATATACAAAGTTTAGTGTCCGGTGAACAGTGGACCCATTTTTTATGCAACTTAGAATGGCAAACAAATGCTTGTGTTATAAAAAAAAAAAGACGAGTGGCACTGACGGAAAGACTGACGGCTTTCCTATATAGTCTGCCTCTAATTGAAATTGATTGATCAATATTTAATAAATTAAATTGACATTGAAACAGATTGACATTGTGTTCTCTTTGAATTTTTATTATTTAATTATAATTCAATTTAAACATTAGAATCAGAACGTCATAAGAAGGTCATTATCAATAAATGCCAATTTTGATCAAGTTATGTTTTTTTTCATCGGCAAGCGGTCTCATGGTCGAGTCTGGTGGTACAGTAAATATTTACCATCATAAAAAAGAAGTATGCTGTTTTCCTGAAGGTTCAATGTCGTATCAATTAAAAATTTGTTAGCATGCCACATGGTACAAATTAGTTATTTTTTTATGTGTGAAAATGATATTATAACGGTAACTCCGCCCGCGCTAATGGGATACGCTGGCACCAGTGAAGGTTGATAGATGAGAATGAAAACAGGCCAGTTAGCCCATCATGATGAATTCATCAGGAATTAACCATGATAGTTTCCAAGGGGAACCGCGAGGAGGTCGACCTGGTTGGGTATATTGCTAGCAATGGGATTCTCAGTCTCCATTACTAACAATCCTTTTCTCCTTAACAAATTAGTTATTATAATATAATAAGTTAGCACATAAGACATGTGACAGCCCTATTGTTACTGTTGTGAGTTAGGTCCAAACGTTTTTTTTTTTTATAGGTGACAATGAAATAAAGACCCCGCCCGCACTATCGGTATATACCGGCGGGTCACCAGTGAAGGATGATAGGTGAGGATGAAGCAGGCCAGTTAGCCCATCGTGACGAATTCAACAAGAATTGTTCACGATGGTTTCCAGTGGGAACCACGTGGAGGTTAACCTGATAGGGTGTATTGCTAGCAATAGGGCTGTCAAACTCCATTGCTAACAAAATTAATTTCGCGAACAGATTTTTTTAATCGAAAATTGCGAAGGAATTCAATATGGCAACACTGGAGGCGATAGATGCGGTAATTGAGAAAAAACGTGAGAACACTGCGGCCTTGTGGTGCAATGGTGTTTATTACCTTGGACGCTGTAGATAACATATTGTAAGTTATTGTTTTAAATCTAATACAATAAATCTAACTGCCGGCTCCGACTTCGCACGGACGTAATAACGAAAACGGAGGGTCTACCATGAAATGTTTTCCGAAATTTCGGAGCCGAACGAAACAGAAATTTAGTGTTAAAATTACATAATACTTACCGTTTGAAAACATTAAAAATATGAAAATATTATTCCTTGGGATTTTTATGGTAGGATTTATGACGAACAATATTTAATTATTGGTCCGATTTTGGTAAAAACAAAAACACGAAATTGAGTCCGAAACTTCGGATTTTCATTTCATGGTAGACCCGCGGAATCGTAACAATGTAAGAAACTGAATAACCGAATGACATACTGTCAATATTTTTACTCTGTCGCTCACTTTCTTCGGCCGTATGGTCCCGGCATAGAATAAACTAAATATAAAATAGACATCCCTTCTTTTTCCGTGGGTGTTGTAAGAGGCGACTAAGGGTACTTAACGATCGAGGGATGGGCAGCAGCATCCCTTTTAAATCATCAGCCTATCAGCCAACTTGTAGTTGCCAACCTACCAGCTAGGAATGGTAACAACTGACAAGGGGCAGGGCTCCATAAGGGGCGTTTTGCTAGTAGTTGCCACGATCGGCAAGCGAATTGGTAACTGTAATTTTTTTATACAACTTTGTATGGCAAACAAGCTGACGGTCCACCTGATGGAAAGTGGTAACCGTCGCCTATAGACATGAGCGGTACCATAGACATAACAGAGTATACTGTTTCGCCCATGATACCCCCCAAGCGTTGCCATTCCTGAGGACTCAGATGTTATTCCTCTGTACCGTGTAAATTCACGCCATATCCCACCCTTCAAACCGAAACAGCCATGCAAACACTTTACGGTTGAAACACGAATGGGACAGAGGTACCTAAGCAAACGACTTTTGTACAAAGTCTCCCTCTGGTTAGGGTTTTGGTAATATTTTAAAATCTGCTGCCCATCCTTGACTTATATATATATATATATATATATACAATTGCAAAGGTTGTCTGAAAGAGATTACTTAGCGATAAAGCCACCTTTTGTATCACTTCTTATTAAAATTCAATGTATTTATTATTAATTATTATTATAAATGGTACAATAAAGAATAAATAAATATTATTCAACCCTAATTTTCTACTTTCAAAACAGCATTATTTATAAAAGTTGACCGTTTAGAATTGGCGGTTAAAATTTAAAAACAAAATGGCGACCGTTAAGCGGATTCAAGCGATCAACTATCAATTTACAGCTCCGCGACCTGTGACCCGTGGTCAGTTGACACGAATAGTTAAATTAACATAAAACAGTTTTGTTAACGGACAACATACAAATTGCGATTAGGCATGGATTTTGTATGATTAATGGACAAAAATTATGGCCTGTAGTAAGGTTTTTTATTCGCTACCGACCTCTTTATCAAACAATTGTGATTTTAAAACCAAACTGTTGAACGAATTTGATAAAATTTACAGGGTAGACTTGAGTCCTCGGGAATGGCAACGTATGGGAAGTATCATGGGCGAAACAGTATACTCTGTTATGTCCACGGTACTGCTCATGTCTATAGGCGACGCTTACCACTTTCCATTAGGTGGGCACACCTGATGGAAAGTGGTAACCGTCGCCTTGTTTGCCATTCTGAGTTGCACAAAAAAATCTATGGAGCTAATCTGTAATATCTTTTCAGATAAAAAAAGGAATTATCTAAATCGGCAAACATATAAAAAAATACAACCGAGTTGAGAGTCTTCTTTTTAAAGTCAAACCAAATAATAAGTACGTAACTAATTATAAATTAATGATAATGGAACGGTAACCCCGCTAGCGCTAGCGAGGCAACATTGAGAGATGACAGGTAAGAATGAAAAGGCAGGTCAGTTAGCCCATCGTGACAAATTCCATAGGAATTAACCACGATTCCAGTGGAAATCTCGTGGAGCTAGCTATAGGGCTATTAGGTCCCTATTACTCCCTCATCTGAGAATCACGTTCAGGGTACGATATGATCGATATAACTGAAAAAGGTAGAACCCATTATAGCCCTGCCGAGGTTTTCCCAAGAGACTACAGCGTTGGGTTCTTCAAAAGGGGAGTAAAGAGGTTTCTTCAAGATCGGCAACGCGCGCGTAATACCTCTGGTATTGCAGGCGTTCATAGGCTACGGTAACCAATTACCATCAGGTGGGCCGTATGCTTGTTTGTTTTGCCACCTCAGTGGTGGCAAAAAAAATCCCATCCAGTCCAGTAGTTATCTTATCTATTATATTCTTACCTTGCTAAAGATTTCAAATAACGAAGTGATTTCATTATAATACCGTTACACGATTATATCTGTCTAGGTATTATTATAATGCTTAGGTTTGCACGAATTGCAATATGCACAAATAATATAGAAACATTCTAACCCGTACGCCGTTGAGATAGCGTTCAAAACACCAACGTTTTTATTCACCACGAAGATAGCCGCATACCAAAGTAGTTTTACGAGCAACAGCTAACTTCACAGCCTTAGTCGACTCCCAAAACTCGCGTACGTAGGTTGTGTCGCGCGCTCGTCGGTTATAAAATAAATTCTATCGTAAAAAAATACACTTCGAAAATCAAACCAGTGTGTTTACAAGTATGGATGTGCATTTAAATTGTGATTTCTATATTCAATACTTAACGAGTTTTAATGACTGAATAAGTGACAAGGCCGTTTATTGTTTAATTTGGACCGTTAAATGTTAACCTATAAAATAAACAAAGCGCACTGCAATGGAGGACGTGTATACAATTAAAGTAAAAAGTAAACCAGATACAAGGAATTTGTATCCATCGGAAAGGAGGTATTCGGCATCAACTGTGTCTGGATTAGCGTGGGTTCACATTGCATTGGCGGCTACGTCACTTCTGCTGGCCTGTTTGGCCATTATAAATCCAAATTCACAACTTAAACTTTCAAACAACATTACTGATGCTAACAAAACGGAATTGTTATTAAATACGACGGAATCGAACGAGAATGCGACGGGAAATATCACGGATGAGTGTAATAATGGTAATAGATATGTTCTCGTGTTAGCACCCACTCTGATTGCGGTGTTCGCTTTGGCGGCCGGTATCACGTCTATACTAGCTTCCGTGAGGTGGTATATAGATCATAATATAACATGGTTGTTTGTTATGTCAGTCATATCGACGGTGGCGTCGTTCACCTCCTTCATAATGATAGTAGCCTGGTTCATAGCGACCGCTGAAGGTGATATGTCCGAGTTTTATAAAGAGAGAATACCGTTTAAAGACTACATTGTTGTTAAACATACGGATGTTATAAACAGAAATGGCTCGCACATGATAGTGTCTTTAAACTCCAATACGGAAGAAACAAATTCCTATTTGTTTACAAAACGTGTGTTATCAATAAATATATTGATTGCAGCCTTTTTAGAGCTACTATGGTCGTTGTTGAGCGTCAAGATATCGTATAAAGGCATGAGAAATAATTATAAAGACGACAGCAACGAGAGACGCGGAAACTGCATATCTGTTGTGACTACGATAAAGGGGAACGACCCTAAGAATATGCCGAGAAACGGCAAACTGATGCCCCCAAAACCTGACTTGATAGAACACTATCCGAGCAAAAAGATCAAAAGGATATTTTTAGCGCAGAGCGACAACGGGTTTTACTTGAAAAATCAGAATAATAAAGCGAAACAAAACACAGAAACTAGTTCGGAATTTTACAAGGAGCGTATGATGAACTTTTTAAACAGATGCGCCTCTCTGGAAATGTCCAATACCGAAATGAGGACTCCCAGCATTCAGTCGGAGGCTGTACTTAATCCTATACCTGAAATAGCTAGTGTCGATATTAATATACAAGAGAATAACACAGAAAACGAAGTGAAAGACTGTATAACACCGGTCAGTTGGGGCGATACTCCCGACCATACTGTTTACAACCAGAACACAATAAATTTCGACAAAATATTCAAGTTCGGTAAGAAAAAGGAGGGGGACAGTGAAAAGCCTAATGAGATAAGTGAAAATACAGAATAGCAATAGCGTGACTGCAGTTTCTTGCTCAATGAATGGACTGGAAAGCGTGTTTTTACACGCAGAACTGCATAAAACTGTTGTTTTATGAAACGACCTTTGAATTATTTGGGTCGATTAATTGGCCGTGCGCTGACTGGCCCTAAATGTGTACAGTCGAACGATTGTGTAAGATCTAACTATTGAATTATATCAATTATAAACTGTGTCTATTGTTTAGAATATTATTTTAATAATAAACGATTTTTTTTACGTGTCATAACTTTATAATTATTTAAAAATATTTATAGCTCTTGGCTAATTTAATTTGTTAATATTAATTTGAGTCAATGAACTGCATTTTAAATTTATGTATTTAAACTTTATTGACCAATAAAATGTGGTACAAAAGGCGGACTTACTGTTTTAGGCATTCTCTACCAGTCAACCTTTAGGATGTGCAGAGATACTCAACGGTGATTTAAAAAAATTAAATTATATTTGAGTATAAGATGGTAAATTAATTATATATATATATATATATATATATATATATACAAATATTAATACAGTATTTATATATTAATACCTTAAATAATATAGATAGTCTCCATACAAATGCTTCGAAAAAGCGGCTCAACATTTTCATACAATTTTGCGTGATAAATAGTTACGAGTGATTCCTTTATAACTTCTATATGTATTTTGTCTTATAAATTTTGCACCTTTTTAATGCGAAAAAAACTCATTTTATTTATTAAATAATTAAATATAGATACATCAAGATATATTGTATGCGTAAGTATATAGAACACTGATAAAACAAACGAGTCAGACAATTTGACAAAAAGTTGACCCGTTTTTGAGGCTCGGGGCTCTATCTATATTATCTAATGTTTTTTTTATAGGTGATAATGGTATGGTAACCCCACCCGCGCTATCGGTATACACCGGCGGGGCACCAGTGAAGGATGATAGGTGAGAATGAAGCAGCAATGCTATTCACTAAAAATCTACCGCAACGCTGCGCCCGCCGACGAGCTCTAGGCTGATCAGCCTTGCGAACGACCGTGGCTACAGCGCTGCGGTAATTGGTATTCACTAACGTGTCAAACCTCATCGACGAACTGTAGGCTGTGATAACTCGAGGCTGTGCGCACGGACGAGATAGGGCTTGCAACAAAAACCGTAAAATGAAACCGATAACTGTAGAAATATAATATTTTATTGACAAATGGAATGTTTTATTCAGTTTAGAATGTTATTTAAATAAATATTATATAAAATATATTTATACATCAAACATTTGATATAATACCCTATTGCCGTATAAACAAATAACACTATACGTAGGTACGTATATTATATTCCTTGTACTTAACATTCCAGAGGCGCACTTTTTGTATTTGTTTATTCTCTTTTAAAAATAATTAATAAAATTAACGTATATAAGTTTGGATGTATCTATCAAATACGTAAGTAAAATGTGCTTTTTATTTACTTGTATTGTTTTTAAGGTTATATTTTTATATAAATGCATATATATGAAACGAGGTATATATATATATATAAAGAATATATATATATATATATATATATATATATATATATATATTTTTATATATATATATATGACACTTATCTCCTTCACAATAGCAGCCTCAACTAGAAAGAGAGTAGTCTCACAAAGATTTGTTGCCACTGAAGAGCACCGAGTAGAGACAGAACAAATTTTGATAGAGAATCAGACAACACTAGTTCATATCTTATAGCTAATGAGTGAGATATGACTAAATTAAAGTCAGCCATTGTACAATTTAATTAAAAAAAAAATTAAAAAAATGTCAAATAATTTTTATTCAATTAAATTTAAAATATTATAAATGGTAATTCTTTATGATTCTACCATCCATTGTGAAGAAGGGGAGAAACATCAATTTTGGTTTTTAAAATACTAATAGATTTTACAATAATACATTTCTAAAAATATACACTGTCAAACATAACAAGAGTTATTGGAATTATTAGTTAAATCAAGTTCATTATTGAAAATATAAGATTAAATTATGTCATTTAATAGTCATTAGTAATTTTGAAATATAAGTTTCCACTTATATAATTTTCAAATAAAAACACAATTACAATAAAATTTTATAATTATAAACTTGTTTCAATTTCAAATAAATAATTTTTAATGAATATTTTTTTAATTTCTTACTCCATACTAGTTATAATATGAATTAATTATAATAATTTTAAATTAAAATATACATTTACAACATAATATAATATTAATTTTAATTCACAGGTAGACAAAAATGTAACAATAAAAAAGTATTTGAAAATAGTTTTAAGATATAAGTATAAAAAGTATAGCTAGCTTATTTTCAGACTACAAAATTTTCTTTTGTGCTTCTTCATTTTGTATAGATGATGTAACTGCATCATATTATCAGCATATCACAAACAATACAGCAATACACTACTATTATTGTGGCTGTCCAAGGGTTTGTCATGCTACTAAATGAGTTTCAAAATCACCTGAAAATAAACAAGTAATGTTAATTATTTTTAATCAGCCACATAGCCAATCCTGAATTTATGTGTGTCATGGTTTTTAAAACTATGATTTTGAAACAGTTTTTTATAATAGTTTCAACTTGAATGCTAAATTTAGTGGTCTAACTTAACAAAAATTAATTGACATGAATTAATAATTTACTACATGTTTAACTAAGTTGGTTTCTTTCTAACATATTAGACATAGTTATTTTTATACAAAACCAGAGGCCACTAAGCTTATGGATCACCTAATGGGAAACGGTTACCATGATCCATGGATATTTGTAACACCAGAAGTATTATTATGCATACTAGAATACTTGTTACACACTATTATTAACTAGCTAGTTGTTCCCTACACAAACATCTGCTGACACAATTAAGCTTGTCTCAATAAAATAAACAAGTGCACACAATCACTGCAAAGTATTCTTTTTCCTGCTTTAAATTTATTTATGTACCTAATACCATCAATTAATAAAATTTAAGTTACAAACCTTCAGCTTTAACAAATCTCTGGAACAGACATACATGGTGACAATTCTTTTTCTAACATATTGATTAATTCTTCAGAAAGTCGGTAATGATGAATATAATCCACATCACATAAAGTTGTTGATTGTCGGCATTTCTTACAATCATTTTCTATTTTTGCTTCTTTCAACAAACGGGTCATTACACATAAACGAGCAGCAATCGTTTTTAAACACAAATTGATAATTTCAATACAATTAATAATCACAGAATTCAAGAAACAAATAAATATATTAGATGAATACTATGCAAACAGCGTAGAAAACAAAGCTTTTGAGTTTGACATAAGAAATCGAGGCTGTCGGCGAAGGCGAGGCTGATTTTTGTTAGTGAATACCAAATACTATGGCAAAATGTCAAATCGCACAGCCTTGAGTAGTTCCCGTTTATGCCGCTCGTCTTTGAGCTCGTCTTTGGGCGCTAGTGTCGCGTCTTAAGAATTAGTGAATACCATTTCAATATTTCATCGCTGCGTCAAGGCTGATGTCTAGGCTGTTTGCTTAGAGAATAGCACTACAGGTCAGTTAGCCCATCGTGACGGATTCAACAAGAATTGTTCACGATGGTTTCTAGGGGGAACTACGTGGAGGGCGACCTAATAAGGTATATTGCTAGCAATGGGGCTGCCGAACTCCATTACTAACAATCCCTTTCCCCCCCTATTATCTAAGGTTACCTACATATAAAAATATACATATACAATATAATGAACTAATGCTTACTTGATTGAGAGAATTAAAAATTAAAAGAATTTAGATCAGTTGTGATGGAAATGTCGTCATACATTAGTAGGTATCAAATTTGAATACTTTCTCTCAATAATGTGGAGCGTTATTTATATATTTTAATATTATTTTCTTAATTATATTCATGGCTACAATAAACTAGATTTCTTTTTCAACCTATTTTAAAAAGAAAGAGATAGATAGATACTCTTTACTGTTTCCTCCAAAAGATTACAATAGTAAACTTATTATAAATATAAACAATTACAAGAAATAATCGCAGTAAGAAAACAATGGGCGACCTTATCGCTAAGAAAAGAGCATATTCCTTTTTAAAAGGCCGGGAGCACACCTGCAATGCCGGTGGTGTTGCGGGTGATCATGGGCGGCGGTAGTCACTTACCACCAGGTGAGCCGCATGCTCGTTTGCCCCCTGTGTTGTAAAAAAAAGAGCGATCTCTTGCAAACAACCTTTGGATGGAGAGGAGTAATTATAAATTCGGTTTTAATTTATTTTATAATTGTAACCTCTAAGCTCCGTCAGTTGTAAACCGATTTGGAAAAATGGTTTTTTTTTTATTTTAAAGGATATATTTACAGATTGGTCCTATAGAAAGTTAATCAAAATCGATCCAGTGGTTTAGTTTTGGAACAAAATAACTAGTTTTGTTTAATTGGTTTAATCGGGTTTTTTTTATGGAACACAATCTTTAATTATTGGCAGCACACCTGCAATGCCGCTGGTGTTGTGGGTGATCATGGGCGGCGGTAGTCACTTACCATCAGGTGAGCCGCATGCTCGTTTGCCTCTTGTGTTGTAAAAAAAAAGTTTTAACACAATAATGGCGTGTTTCTAAATGAACTGACTCGCCCATAAATTTCTATTTCCGTTGACACCCTACAATTTAATTTTATAGGAATCCCAGCCCCACCTACCTGCCGCACCCAGGTAGGGTCGCTATTAGGCGCGGCAAGGGGTGGCTTATGGACATTGCAAAGTCATGGGGTTATGGCATGAAACAATTTAACTAAATGCAAGGTTATCATTTGCCAAATTGATGACAAATGTTTCGGTTTTTTTATACCACTAAGGTGGCAAACAAGCATACGGCCACCTGATGGTAAGCGGTTACCGTAGCCTATGAACGCCTGCAATAGCAGAGGTATTACGCGCGCAATGCCGACCCTGAAGAAACCTCTTTACCCCTTTACCCTTTAAAGAACGCCATGCTGTAGTCTCTTGGGGAAACCTCGGCAGGGAGCTCATTCCATAACCTGAGTGTTCGTGGGAGGAAACATCTCTGAAACCGCGTTGTACGCGACCACTTAGGCTGTAGGGTATGAGGTATTGTATCAGTCATTAATTGTTGTTAAAAAAAAGCTTCCCCCGTAAGGAGGGGTTTTGTCAGTGGTTGCCACGCCTGATAGGTGGGTTGGCATCGAGAAGGAACTGTTAGTAATGGGGATTAGTAGCCCCATTGCTAGCAAATTACCCTGTCAGGTCGACCTCCTCATGGTTCCCTCTGGAAACCATCGTGATTGATTTATTGTTAAATTCGTCACAATGAGCTAACTGACCTGCTTCATCGTCACCTA